GAACTTACACCGCAACAGAAAGAAAATAGCCTCAAAAGAGCTAAATAGTTGCTTCGCATGGCCGAAAGTGTTGAACTGCCGAATTTAGTTCTCTCCGAAGAGAAAACATTCGCTGTCCAGCAGTCTGTAAACAAACAAAATGATCGTGTTTACTTGCCAAAGAGGTCAGCTGAAATGTACACCTTCGGTTGGCCACCAGAACTCAAGCGCCGGACATGGTGATGGTGTGGGCCGCCATAACAACCGATGGCTCTCGCTCGCTCTCAGCTCGTACTAATCGAACGTGGCATCAAAATAAATGCCAAATATTATCGCGAAAATATTCTGCAGGATGTATTAAAGCCTTGCAAACACTTTGGCCGCAGACCTTTGATATTCCAACAGGTCTCAGTACGCGCCAAGAATGGTTACAAAATGAGGTTCCTCGCTTCATTTCCAGCTCAAAATGGCCATCAAAATCTCCGGATACCAATCCGATGGACTATTGTGTCTGGAGTATTTTGGAAAGCAAGGTTAGCAGTAAAAAATACCAAAGTGTCGATGACCTCAAACAAGCGTTTCGCCGGGAATGGGCCAAAATGCCACAGAGCAACATTCCGGCAGCCTGTGACGGTTTCATTGGCCGTTTAAAGGCTATAATTCGTGCCAAAGGTGACCAATTCGAACAAATCTAAACTTATTCTAAAATTTGATGCTATTTTCGACATTTTTTGCCCGTGGCATCAGAATAAATGCCGAAGATTATCGCGAAAATATTATTGAGGTTGTATTAAAGCCTTGGGCACGCAAACATTTTGGCCGCAGACCTTGGACATTCCAACAGGTCTTAGCACGCGCCAAGAATGGTTACAAAATGAGGATCCTCATTTCATTTCCAGCGCAAAATGGCCACCAAAATCTCCGGATACCGGATACCGTTGGACTATTGTGTCGGGAATATTTTGGAAAGCAAGGTTGGCTCTAAAAAATACCAAAGTGTCGATCACCTCAAGCAAGCGCTTTGCCGGGAATGGCCAAAATACCGCAGAGCAACATTTGGGCAGCGTGTGACGGTTTCATTGGCCGTTTGAAAGCCATAAAGCCAAAAGTAGCCAATTCTAAGAAATCTAATTTTATTCTAAAATTTGATGTTATTTCCGACATTTTTTGCTTTCATTCAATAAAATTTAAAAAAAAAATGTAAAAATTTTGAAGTCACCCTGTATATGAATAGCTGACTTCTACACCTTCCTGCCAATATTTTATATAAAACCATTTTAAATTCCCATGAGCATCAAGCCCTCTCTACGAAAAAAAGTGAAATCCTCTCTCCCAAGTTTGTGTCTTAAGTCTTTTGTTTTCCACATTGGCGCCTTTTACATTTCACCACTGTAAACATATAAATTACACAATCTAAAACCAATCTATTCGATGGTGAATACATTTACTTCCTAACAACCACATAACAGTGTCCTTACACCACACACATACACATGCTAACATATATACACACACATCCTGTCTCTCTATTAAAACATAATTTACACTTTCATATGCAAATTTTTTTCTGCATGTTCGTGACTTAAGTCTTTCACATTTATTTCACATTTTTCGTAGTTGTTGTTGCTTTTGCACTGCATAATCACCCAGAAACAAATTGAGCAATTAATTGAAATTTGAATATTTAACCCAGTGTTGATCACTGGTGATAGTGCAGTTTTTGGGCCGTCAAAGAAAGCAGTGATGGTCATAAATTAAATGGCTAACGATGCTATGCTATGTGATTCCGTTTTCTGTTTTTTTGCAAATTCATGGCGCAGAGGAACTTACGCGGAAGTTTTATTTGATTGAAATCGCCAAACGCAAAATTTTATATGAAAACATTGTAATAACAGTGGCCAGTGGCCGTCCTCAACGTCGTCATCACCTCTTTAGCGAGCAGTTATATGTGCTTAACATACGCCACACAGCGTTAAGTAAGCAAACATTTAAAGAAAAGGAAAGTAGTTGAGCAAGAAATTTAAATTAAACCATTACTCTGGGGCAAACATATGTGAGTGATCACAAAAAAAACAATAACAAAAAAAAAAAAAAAGAAAAACAAACTCAACATAGCCACCGCAGAATATTATATACTTGAGGAGGAAGCTTTCATATACAAATGAGAGGGAAAGAGGTCCTATAAATAAGCGAGAGAGAGACTCTATATACAAATGGGAGGGAGGGAGTCTCTGTAGACGAGGGGGAGGGAGTCTCTATAGACGCGGGTGAGGGAGTCTCTATAGACGCGGGGGAGGGAGTCTCTATAGACGCGGGGGAGGGAGTCTCCATAGACGAGCTGTGGAGAGAGTCTCCATAGACGAGGGAGTCTCCATAGACGAGCTGGAGGGATTCTCTATTGACGAGAGGGAGGAAACCTCTATAGACGAAAAGGAGGGAATCTCTATAGACAAGCTGGAGGGAGTCTCCATAGACGAGCTGCTAGGAATCTCTATAGACGAGCTGGAGGGAGTCTCCACAGACGAGCTGGAGGGTGTCTCCACAGACGAGCTGGAGGGTGTCTCCATAGACGAGCGGTAGGGAGTCTTTACAGACGAGCGGTAGGGAGTCTTTATAGACGAGCTGTGGAGGAAGTCTCCATAGACGAGCTGTGGAGGGAGTCTCCATAGACGAGCTGTGGAGGTAGTCTGCATAGACGAGCTGTGGAGGGAGTCTCCATTGACGAACTGGAGGGAGTCTCCATAGACGAGCTGGAGGGAGTCTCCATAAACGAACTGGAGGGAGTCTCCATAGACGAACTGGTGGGACTCTCCATACGCGAGGGGGAGGTAGTCTCTATATACGACGGGGAGGAAGTGTCTATAGGGGAGGAGTCTCTATAGACGAGGAGGAGGGAGTCTCTATAGGCGAGAGGGAGGGAGGGAGGAGGAAGTGAAGATAGGCATTCTCACTATAGAGTAGTTGTAGGCAGGGAGTCTCACCTTAATCGAGCAGGAGGCAAGGAATATATATAGAAGAGCTGAAGTCAGGGAGTCTCTATAGACAGAGAGTATCTTTATAGACGGGCTAAACGCAATAAGTCACTCAATATACGAGCTAAAGGCAGGGCCTCTTTGTCCATAGACAATCAAAAAAAGGGAGTCTCCATAGACGAGCTGAAGGTAGGGAGTCTCACCATAGACAAGCTGAAGACAGAAAGCATATCCCCAGACGATCCGAAGGCAGGAAGTCTCTATATGCAGAGAGTCTCTATATAAACGGGCTGAAGGCAGGAAGTCTTACGATAGACGAGCCGAAGTCAGGGAGTCCATAGACCTGCAAAAGTTAGGGAGTCTCTCCATAGACCAGCTGAAGGCAGAGAGTATCTCTCCATAGACGAGCTGAAGGCAAAGAGTCTCTCCATAGACGAGATGAAGGCAGGAAGTCTCACCATAGATGAGCTAAAGGCAAGGAGGAGCAGAAGGGAGAGAGGCTCTCTCCATAGACGAGCTGAAGGCAGCGAGTCTCCCTCCATAGACGAGCTGAAGGCAGTGAGTGTCTCTCCATAGACGAGCTGAAGGCAGAGAGTCACTCTTCACAGACAAGCTGAAGTTAGGTAGTCCGCCCATAGAAGGAAGTCAAAGAGTCTCATCCACAGACGAGCTGAAGTTAGGGAGTCTCACCCATAGACGAACTGAAGTCAGGGAGTGTCTTCATAGATGAGCTAAAGCCAGGGAGTCTCTTCGTAGACGTGCTGAAACCAGGGGGTCTCTCTATAGACGAGCTGAAGCCAGGGTGTCTCTCCATAGACGAGAAGAGTGTCTCGCGATGAACTGAAGTCCCTCTGCATAGACGATCTGTTAATACTGGTCAGCACAATGACTTTTCCATTGAAGAGCTTTAGGGATGAGCTCCATTGATGGGCAATTCGGACGGCAAGAAGTATCTTCATAGTGTATGAAGGGTATCTGTAGACAAGCGGAAACGATTTTCTTTTTCAGACGAGCTTAAGGCCGTCTCCTTAGACGAATTGTTCCTTCTGACCTGCACAATGGATTTCCTATTGGAGGGCTGCAGGGAGACACCATTGATGAGCGAGTTGAACGAGTAGAAAATGGAGAGGAAACGGTCTCTCTGTAGAAAAGCGGACGACGAGCAGACGACATGACGGAAGTCTGCCTCTCTCTTAAGACGTGTTTATTTGCTCTCTTGAGGCTATAGGAAATGACTCTCTCTTTCTATAGAAGAGCTCAAGGGATTCTCTTTCTATAAAAGAGCCCAAGAGAGTCTCTCTCTATAAAAGGGCTCAAAGGAGTCTCTCTATATGGATGTTTGAAAGGGAGTCTCCTTTTATACAGACGAGCTAAAGGGAGTCTCTCTAAAGCTGCTGCCTATCTCGATGGTTCCTATAGACATCCTATAGGCTCTTTCTACAGATGAGCTGCTGACTCTGGCATTCTTTAGTCTTTAAGAAAGACCAGATGGAGACTATTGTCATGGTCCAATCACAGTAGTTATGGATGCCCTAAATGTAGTCCACATGGATGTCCTGGGATACATTAAACAAAAAAGGTTCAAGGCAGTGGATATAGTCGAGCTATATGAACAGATTATTTTAGTCTCAAACCTAGTTTACAGCGGCGAGCAAAAGCTTTCAAAAGGGATACTTGGTAATTTTTGGATTATTTACAGAAGAGCTTTCCCGCTCCTCAAGAAGTTTTTGTTTTTTGTCTGTTTCCATATCTGTCTTCCCGAACTATTGTATTTCCACATTGCATGTTGTAGGGTATGTCAAATCACCCGAAAAATTACACAAAACCAGCAGCAAAACATTTAACAACTTTGCAAACAACTGGTAGTGAATAGATGAAGTAATTGATGGATTTGACAGATGAACAGACAGGCAGACACAATAATTTACACGACGAGAGGGGGGAACAGGGGACTAAATACTCAAAACACAAAGATGGAATCCATAAATCACAGTTTATTTTATGGTCATGAATGGCAATAAACATCTTCGTATTTTTTTCAAAACTTACCTCATCTTCAATCTTTTCCAAATTCACGCCATGCGTTGCATTCGCATCCTCGTTCATATACCACATTGGCAGCTTGTGCAGTTCACCTTTCTTGTACAGTCCTTGGGTCTTCTTCAGTGTTAAATTGAGCTTTTCGCCAAAAGCTGCCAGCTGTACTTTATGTTCGTGTATATCCTTAACATGTTTACGCTTGGAGCCATCGTGTAGGCTATTGGCCTTCTTCGATGACATTTTCACCTCACTAAAATATGGTGTCTTACTGAGATCTTTCTTCACGTGATGGGCATCGGAAGTGTCGTTCGGTGACAACTCATCCAGACTGCGTTTTCGACGGCGATAATTACTGTATTGCGGTTGCGCCGACGACGATGCATCGGCACTGTGTTCGTGGAGCAGTTGGACAATTTCATATTGTGGCACTGCATCGTGAGAGTCGACATGGAATATCGATTGCAGCTGTTGCGGGGACATTTGTTTGTGAATCTGGAAGAAGAAAAGAATAATTAATAAAAACAAAAATACTAATTAATTTATAATAAACAAATAATTATGTAAATAAAATAATAAATTAAATAAATAAAAAATCTGTACATTTAAAAAGTGAAAGCAGTGAGTCTTCCTAACAGAGAACTTGTCCTAGGGTTAATAAGAGAAGTCTTAATTGTTGTACCCCAGTGAGATCATTTACCAATTAATTTTAACTTATAATCTGTCCAAACCATAATCCATAACCCATTATCTTGTGCCAGGTCACCTTGGCCTATTTTCGAACATATTTACTTATACATTCAGGTGTTATCTAAATACTAATCGAATTAATTTTACAAAAAAAAACAGATCACTCGAAAAAGTCAAAACATAATCAGAAGATAATTAAAAAAAAAAAAACAACAACAACAACAACCCTCCAGATTACGATAGGCAAAGTGCCTACCACTCCAAATTGAATTATGTGGTCATGTAATTGAATCTGAAACATAAATGGGATCGTGTAAATATTATGAACTGCAGATGAATATCAACATGGGAAGGGATTTTCTTTACGCGAGCTGAAAAAAAAAAAAATACATAGGCGAGCGGCAAAAATTCCACTCAGGCGAGATAAAGAGAGTCTCTACAACTACCAAAAGCTAGGCTCTATAGACGAGCGAATGGTAGTCTCCATAAGCGAGCTTGGGGAAGTCTCCACAGACGTGCTGAAGGAAGTCACCAAAGACTAGCTAGCGAGAGTATCCATAGATGAGTTGCTAGGGAATCCCTATGGAAGAGAGTATCTCGGTATAACAGAGACGAGCTGAAGAGAGTCTATTTCTATGGACAAGCCTTAGACGAGCTAAAGGGAGTCGACACATAAAAGATATGGAGGGAGCCTCAATAGATGCGGTGTAGGGAGTCTCCATTGATGAGAGGGTGACATCCTCCATGGACAAGCTGAAGATTGCATAGAGCAGCGGGAGGGGGTCTCTTTATAGACGAGCTGAAATCAGGAAGTCCATAGACGGGCTGAAGTCAGGGAGTCTAGGACAAGCCTTAGACGAGCTAGAGGGAGTCTCCACAGAAAAGATATGGAGGGAGCCTCAATAGATGCGGTGTAGGGAGTCTCCATTGATGAGAGGGTGACATCCTCCATGGACAAGCTGAAGATTGCATAGAGCAGCGGAAGGGGGTCTCTTCATAGACGAGCTGAAATCAGGAAGTCCATAGACGGGCTGAAGTCAGGGAGTCTCTCCATAAGCAAACTGGAGGCAGGGAGTCTCTTCATAGACGAGATAATGGACTTCCTGCCTTCAGCTCGCTTATGAAGAGACTCCCTACCTTCAGCTAGCCTATGAAGAAACTACCTGTCTACAGTTCGTCTGTAGAAAATCCTTAGCTTATGAAGGGACCTCTTTCTGCTAGTTCATACAATCTTCAGCTTGTCTATGGAGGGAGTCTCCCTGACTTCAACTCGTCTATGAAGTTAGACTCCCACTTCATAGACGAGTTGAAGTCAGGGAGACTCCCTCCATAGACAAGCTGAAGATTGTATGAACTAGCAGAAAGAGGTCCCTTCATAAGCTAAGGATTTTCTACAGACGAACTGTAGACAGGTAGTTTCTTCATAGGCTAGCTGAAGGTAGGGAGTCTCTTCATAAGCGAGCTGAAGGCAGGAAGTCTCTCTCCATAGAAGACTTGAAACAAGGGTGTCTCTCTTCATAGACGAGCTGAAGGCAGGGAGTCTCTACAAAAACGAAATGAAGGCAGAGAGTCTCTACATAGACTAATTGAAGGAAGGGAGTCTCTCCATGGGTGAGCTGAAATCAGGAATCTCTCCATAGCCGAGCTAAAGCCAGTGAGTCTTCCATAGATGAGCTGAAAGCATGGAATCTCTTCTTAGGCGAGCTGAAGCTAGGGAGTTCTTTCATAAACGAGAGCTGAAGTCTGGGAGTCTCTCCCGATAGATGAGCTGAAGACAGGGAGTCCTCTCTCTTCAAAGACGAGCTGATGGCAGGGAGTCTTTCTCCATAGACGAGCTTAAGGCAGAAAGTCTATCTCCATAGACGAGCTGAAGGCAGGAAGTCTTTCTCCATTGACGAACTGAAGGCAGAAAGTCTCTCCCCATAGACGAGCTGAAGGCAGAAAGACTCTCTCCATAGACTAGCTAAAGGCAAGAAGATCTCTCAATAGACGAGCTGAAGGCAAGAAGACTCTCTTCTTAGATGAATTGAAGGGAGTCTCTCCAAGGGCGAGCTGAAGTCAGGAATCTCTCCATAGGCGAGCTAAAGCCAGGGAGTATATCTCCATAGACGAGCTAAAAGCAGGGAGTCTACCATAGGCGAGCTAAAGGCAGGGAATATCTCCTTAGGCGAGCTGAAGCAAGGGAGTTCCTTCATAGACGAGAGCTGAAGCCAGGGAGTCTCTCTCTATAAACGAGGTGGAGGCCGGTAGTCTCTCTCCATAGACGAGCTGAAGTCAGGGAATCTCCACAAGCAAGCTGAAGGCAGGTAGTCTCTCTCGATAGAAGGGCTGAAACCAGGGAGTCTCTCTCTCCATAGACGAGCTGGAGACAGGGAGTATCTCTCCTCATAGATGAGGTGAATCCAGAGAAAAAGTGTCTCTTTCGATAGACGGGCTGAAGCCAAGGAGTCACTCTCCCTCTCCATAGATGATATGAATCCAGGGAGTCTCTCCATAGACGAGATGAATCCAGAGAATTTCTTCATAGATGAGCTAAAGACAGCGTATCTCCACAAACGATTTGAAAGTAGAAAGGCTTTATAGACAGCCTGTGTAGAGGCTTTATAGTCAAATAAAGAGGAGTCCTAAATGAGTTAAATGAAGTCTCGACGAGACTGAAGGGACCTCTCTGGATAAACTCTAAGGTCTCTCTCTCTCTTTCTTAGTTGTCTCTCTCTCTCTCTCTCTGGACATATTTTAGAGAGTTTCTCTCTCTTTCTCTGGATGACATGTAACGAAACCCTCTCTAAACGAGTTGTGGAAAGTCTTTCTCTGGACGAGATGTAGGGAGTCTCTTGAGATGAGCTGAAGATAGTCTATGTGAGGAGCTGAGACCGGTATCTATTGACGAATTGAATACAGTCCCTACAGGCAAGCTAAAGGGGATAAAGACCCAATGTTGATGCTAGCCTTTTGCCATTAATTTTTCCCACTCTTCACATATCTCCCTTCCCTTCAAAGCTATTACCTGTAAAAGCTACTCCAGAATGATTTCCTTTTAAAATAAATTATTTTAAACACCAATTTCGTTTTTTTTTTTTTTTTTTTTTTGTTCATAAATCCCAAGTTAACCTTCAAATCCTGTCACATATGTTTAATGGGAATGGTGTGTTACTTTTCAAAAAAAAAGTTTGTTATAAAAATAGACTGGAACAGCAACTCCACTTTACAACTTTTTTTGTTTTGTGTTCCAATTATAGCAGCAAAAGACAAGACAGTTTCCTTTCCTTTTTTCCGCTGACCAACAGCAAACACACCTATATATTGAGGAGTTCATTGATTGCTTCCTACAGAAACCTGTTGCAAAAAAGGGCTCAAACCTCCGCTATACATATGTTCTTACCCTACTCAGATGCATGCACACACACATCGACAAAATTCAATTATCCATAAGTCAACAAAAGATCATCGTACAGTTATTTAAAAACTGACCGTTATTATGGGTTTTCTGATTTTTTGCACCTTTTTTTGTAGTTGTAAAAAAGCTGTACAGCATCCGGAGCCAATACCCAGCAAGAAAACCGGCTTCATGGCACCCTTTTTGCAGAATCTGCAAAATGCAGGCAATAAACGTAAAGACAATGTAAAATTACAGTTAAAAGATATTAACGATAGCAACGAATACAACAACAGCAACAATAAAAAATGTTGAGAATAAGAAACTCAACAACAACAACAAAAACAATAAGAATATTACAGCTGAATTTCGTTTTCTGTGTTTGGAGAAAAAAAAGCAAAAGTCTCAACCAAGCCGTTCGGCAAACATTGGCATCAGTTTTAGCATTAATAACTTCAGTTATTATACCTGGCCCAAGCTGGCTATGAAGCCAAGCACAACTGCGGTACTCGAATGAAGCTAAATCTTGTGGTAGCAGTTGATATCGTCGATGTTGTTGTTGTTGTTGGTCCAAAGCAACAAATGTGGTTTACCTTGTCGTCATCATAAACACGGCAACTTTTTTTCTAAAACAAAAACAGAAAACTGAAACTCTGGCTGATAGCATTGTCTTGTAGTATTCTTACAGATGCATGGTTTGTAGAGGGGGGGAAGAGAGGCTAGAAGAGATTTTGTTTTGTGTTTTCTATAAAGTTGGATTTCACACGCTTCGGCTGCTGCTGCTGCTTTTCACCGCTGGCAAAGAATGATTGATTTTTTAGAAGAGATTTATGTCCATCACCGGGAGAAGATTTCTATAATCCAAAGGTTCCATTACAGAGCCATTTAAGTATTGAAAGTCTATTTGCTAAGTTGAGAGATTACTTTCAATTTTTTTTTTTTTGGTTTTTATTATGGCTCAATGTCTTGCCAGCCTCAATAGATAGAATCATTCTTCAATGGAAACTGGTTAAAGATTTGAAATTGATATGCCACTTCAGAATGGCAAGGTATTGAGAGGGAAATGCTCAGGTTTAGTTTAAGTGGGGTTATACTTTGTGGGCTTTGAGAAGGCTTGGTGGAAGAGAGGAGGGAGTTTCCTTAGACGAGAAAGAGGGAGTATCTGTAGGTGAGCTGGAAGGGGTTGCTTTAGGCGACAAAAATGGAGTAGCTAGAAGGCGCCTCTATAGGCGAGACAAAGGAAGCAGCAGGGAGTTTTTATAGATGAGCCAGAGGCAGTCTTTGTAGCGAGCTATAGAGAACCTCCTATAGGCGAGCTAGAGAGAGAGCCTCCTATAGGCGAGCTAGAGAGAGAGCCTCTTATAGGAGAGCTAGATAGAGAGCCTCCTATAGGCGACCTAGAGAGAGAGCCTCTTATAGGCAAGCTAGA